ATAGATGGCGCCAGTGGGTTATAAATTCCGCCGCCACTCCCCCCGCCAGTAGGGATAAACATTGCATTTGTGAAGAGACGAGACCTTTTATGCCAATGTTGAAACTGCAAAATTTTTAGGTTATTTCATGCAGAATTTAGCACAGAAGAATTCACCTGGCATCAGCTTTGAGAGAAGCGAATTGTCATTTGCCATTTGGTCACTTTGGGGCTATGAATAAAGATTGGACGGTGAAATAATGCTGCCCCATTCAAAATAGTTCGGGATCGGAACCCCAGTTTTATGTTGAAACATTAAGTTAAGCCCCTCTGTTGTAGTGAGACCGCACTGTATTTCTGTTTTCTAGATAATTTCAGCATTATAGGTACTATATATACCCGTTGGTCTGCAGGAGATAGCTCTTCTTCCATCTCCTCTATTTGTTTCGTTGTCCAATGCCATTGTCTTACGGCGAAGTAGTGCAGCACAGTAACAAACTTGTTCAATTTACCGATGACCTTGGCCATACTGAATAATAAATACACGCACATATAAAGCTGATCTTAAAGGGAGGGGAACGTAGAACTTTATGGTGGAATTTTGTACTCATATCTCTTGATTTAACTGCTCAGCAACTAGAATCAAATAATACACAATTTATAGTAATACACGTTCTGGAGTTTCGATTCGTATTATGAATCGTACATGTGATCACTGTTTAATAATCATAACCCCAATCACCAGGTTTTTGTAATACAACAATTTGTAAATTGTATATAGGCCTATATATCTATATATCTATCTATATATATATATCACTGCGATTTATTTCAGCTATAGCCATGATCAGAAGACTATCAATAGAGCATAATAATGTCAACGTAAGTCACTATCGTAGCAACTACGTAATATAAAATAAGGAGAAATAGCATGCCTCGATTTCTTTCCTCGCAGTCTTGACACTTGGTCGAGTATGATCGCAGGCGCGTCATGGAACAGCCTCGACATGACGTGAAATAGAGAGCTGCGTATGGAAAGCAAGAGTGCAAATCAAATGGCGAGAAAACACAAGTATAGCGCCATATACGCATATGACTATAGTCTTGTATGAAAATTGATATTAATTGGTACCCAATTGTTATACTGAAATATGGAGTGTAAAAAAAAATATTGCATCGGCAAAATAAAAGGTCATTCTGTATACGATAAATGAGAGTTCGTGTCAAAGGCGCCATTAATCTCAGCGGCACTTGGGTCGTTTCAGTAAAATGGTCTTAAAAATTCAAATCGTATTTACTTCCAACGTATTAATGAGTGTGTGCTCTCTATCGCCCAATAGTTCCGCGCAAATGCCGTTCCAATATTTCTCTGTCCAGACAATCTACTGAACGCATGCCACTGGTGCAGAAACTCGCCGAAAACGACATATACAATCTGCCCTAGAAAGATAGAAACGTATCTTCCGCACACCATGCACGGTAACGCACACTACTACAAAGATAGCAACCATGGTAGACGTAGGCAATCTCACTAGATCCTTGACAGGGCTGAGTTGTGCATCATGGTATACCGATATTTTCTTCTAAATAAGCACTAGTATTCAACAATATTAACAAACAGTCAGTAAGAAAGCAAGGATGCATTGATGTATATTAAGCATTTAAATAATTGCATTCGCAAAACATAAACGAGATGTAATTATATATTATTAATAATCTTAAACGCATTCCATTGATATATTAATTAATCAATCTTTATGCTCATGTGCTTTGATAGACTATTTGTCTCTGAGCTATTTCCTATATCTAGTTATTAAATGCATGTATTTGCTTCCATACACAGCGCGTATCATATGTTATTATAGTTTACAATAATTGTTACGCACTAAACTCGCGCAGGTCATGCCGGTGGCACCCCCGGATCTGCTGCTGTGTAGATGGGAATCGTGAGGCGTGGGGCTCGCTGGTGCCAGCCACTAGCCGCGCTGCAATGTATGCAGTTCGACAGACCATCCACAGGCACATATCGATTCTTTAGTAGTATACCACACACTCACTCGTAAATACCCTTGCAAACCTGCAGTTACTTCTTTTATTATGTAAATTCATGTTGTGAATGGACAGCTTACTGACTTTAATGTTCATATTAATCCGCTCACCTCTCTTCCTCGCAACCTTCCTCCCTCCCTCTCCAACCTTCCTAGTCCCTCCTCCTCAATCCTCGGCTGCGCTTCTTCACACATCATCGCTCGCCGCGGCTCTCACAACCTCTCTCTCCCCTCCTCTCGTCTCTCTCGCCTCGTCTTGTCGTTTCCTCAACACAGCGCCATCATTTAGTTCCATAACTATTCTGGGCCGATTTTGCAGTATTTACCTTGTTGAATAATTTCATATAAATCATTGGTTGGTTTATTCATACACCTTGACAAGGGTATAAATCTAACTTCAACGATAGATATGCATAGAAGAGATAGAATTATGTTTATTCGAACTCGTCCTATTTGGAACAACGTAACGCAAAATGATAGACATCTAATGAGTCCGGCGGATGACCCTATCGATATCTAATCAACTACGCTCGTCGATGCCCTTAACCAAGATGAGAAGCTTCCGCTCAAGTGAGCCATCGACTCTATCCAGCCACTTTATAGGTCGTCCTTCCACGTGGAGGTCACCAGGTTGGCCTGACGATAGCTATCGGGAAGGTCACTCGCCTCGTCCGCCAACACGCATTCTGCCATGTGTTTTGTGTAGACGTAGGTGTTTGGTGCGTCGCAAAAGAGCTCTGGGGTACACGTTTCCGCTGCCGCGTCGTCGCATGTCCCTGCATGGAAAAGAAAATATCTATTGTATCAATTATACGAATGTGAGATGGTATGGTATGGCGATGGAATTATTGTGGAATAATCGCATTAACTAATGCATTGTGTATGTGCAATGCTAATATTGTAAATTGTGAGAAAATACCGCACCAGCCCAGCGCATACTACTACAACTGCCTCCAGCAGCAGGCGCACAGCAACAGCACAACAGCAGCAGCAGCAGCAGCAACAGCAACAGCAACAGCAGCAACAACAGCAGCAGCAACAACGACAACAAAACCACCAGCAGCAACAGCAGCAACATCAGTAGCAGCAGCAGCAGCAACAGCAGCAGCAGCAGCAGCAGCAGCGGGCAGCAGGCAGCAGAGAAGTACTAGTGCAAGCCATTAATAAGAGCTTACAGAACAGTGGCGATGACGTCATTATAGTCTCCCTTGAATTCGTAGAATTTCTGCTTACTATGACTTCAAGGCTTGGTCGACAAATGCTGTAGAAGTGTGAAGCGATGGCCTGCAATGTACGCGATCAATTATAACACATATTTGCATATTAATTTATTTGCACGATATATCATTATTATACATCATAAGGTAACAACCAAATACATACACCACTGTACAAGCAGTGACTATCACCCAGTGTGATATCTGGGATCAGTCGTCACTCACAGATATTTGTTTCGTTCAGTGCCGAGTCGATTGTTAATTAATGTCACTGTCACGGTTTTCTGGTAATAAATTTCTTCATTTTGAAATGAACCTAAATTCTATCTGAACAATTTTTTTGTTCTGGATTCAACGCTCTGATAATACCGTTTTTCTACTGACTTGTGATTTCCCTTAGGCAATAGCTCAACGATCACGGTTGGTCATACGGGATTTTATTAGCATCTTTAATCTATTATTATAATTATCTCAATTTGTGTATACTGATAAGAACATACACGAACGCGCACGACGCATCACACAAATACGCCGCGAGCCGCACACGCTGACACGTAGACGCACACGCAATCGCACACGCGAGCATGTATGTACCATACTATAACAGATATGCATAATATTATGTACACGCACGCACCACACACAGTCACACACACTTAAGCGAGGCTTATGTCGGGCTTGCGAGCCGACTCGGACAGGAAGCAACTGGATTTCGAGCAACTGGCAAGCGATCGGCAGCGATAGTTGCGTCCAGTTGCCCACTGTTCTATGCCGAAGCAACTAGTGGGGGCCCTGCAGTCGCAGTGAATTACAGCAGTTGCTCTCTAGTCGAGTCGGCTCGCAGCCCCGACATAAGCCCCTTTACATTACGTGAGTGTGCGCGGCGTGCGTGTGTGCGTGCGTATATGTGCATGTATGAGTGTGAGTGTGCGCGTATGTGTGCGCGTGCGCGTGTGTGTTTGCGCGCGCGCGTGTGTGTACGCGCGTGAAGCGTGTGCATGTGCGTATCGTACACCACTTCACATAAGTGGCACCCGAAATGTTCTTACCTGCAGGTGTTTGGCACTTTCTGGCAGAGCACCAGCATATCTTTAACAGCAATAACGTTGGTCGTTACTGCATTCCTAAATAATTAAAGAATTCATTAACGTGGAAATAGCATCGTATTGTTACATAGAACATGCATGTGCTGGAGGAAACAGTTCAATCAATGAATGTATCTGTCTGTAGTGGCCCTGTATAACTATTTATAATGCTTCACACGGTGAATGACGTTGTGATAATGTTAGTATATATTATATATATATATAATATTATATATCGGTATCAGGACAAATAACCCCCGGACAATCACCCCCCCCGACAATTACCCGCCAGACATTTACCCCCATGCCATCACACCCCGGAAAATTACCCCCGGACAATCACCCCCGGACAATTACCACCCGGAGCATTTACCCCCGCGACATTTACCCCCCGGACCAATCACCACCCGGACATTTACCCCCTGACATTTACCCCCGACAATTATCCCCGGACATTTACCCCTCGAGCAACTCACCCCCGGACAATTACCCTCCGACATTCCGCCCGCGGACCATTTACCCCCGGAACAATTTACCGCCCCGGACAATTACCCCCCAGACATTGGGATTACCCCCGGACATTTAAAGGAGGAGTTAGAGGACACGGAGAAGGTAGTGGAGGAGAAAGAATAGGAGGGGGAGAGGAAGGAGTAAGAAGAAGGTAAAGGAGGTGCAGTGGTGGTTGGGAGAGGAGGCAGAGAGAAGATGTAATGGAGGAAGGAAAAGAGGAGGAGGTAGAGGCGCCCTCCTCTCACTCCCCCTCCTCCACCTCGCTCACCTCTTCCTCGCCTCTTCCTCTTTCCTCCTCCTCCTCTCCTCCTCCTCCTCCTCTCCTCCTCCACCTTCTCCCCTCCTCACTCTTCCCACCCTCTTCCTCCCCGTACGCAGCTCATCTTCTCCTCCCTCCTCTCCTCTCTTCCTACACCTCCTCTCCTCCTCGCGCCTCTCCTCCCCACCTGGCCCCTCCGTCACCTCTCCTTCTCTACCTCCTCTCAATCATTCCACCCTCCTCTTCCCACCACCGCCCGCCCCCCCCTGCTCACCACCCCTACCCGTTCTCCCCTCCTCCTTCTCACCTTTGCTACCTCCTGTCCCTCCCTACCTCCTCCTCCTCCTCCTGACACTCCTACTCCTCTCTCCTCTGCCTCCTCCTTCTCCACGCTTCTCCCCTCCTTCTCCTCCTCCTTCACCTTCTCCCCCTCCTCCTCCCCACCACTTCTCCCCACTCCTCTCACTGCTCTCCTCCAGCCTCCTCTACTTCATGCATGGGGGTAAATCCGGGGTAATTGTCTTGGGGGTGATTGTGCCCGGGGGGTATTTGTCCTAGAACCATAATACCATACATATATATGATATAATATATATAGTATTGGGTACATCCCAGTAATACTAACTGAGTACCTGAGAGGCTCGATGAAGTTGATCGAAGCTGCGACGTGAAGAATGACGTTGATTTTGTCAGTTAGCAGCTCGTAGTCACTGTCGGACAGGCCGAGCCGTGGTTCACTCACATCTCCGCCGATGATGTGTAGTTTCTCAACGATATCAGGGTTTTCATTCTTTACAGCGTTAAACAGCTGCCAAATGTGAAACGACCCCGTTACGACCTATTTGAATGGCTATTGCATCTTCTGCTTACTCTAGTACACAAGACCAGTTTTTGTCATCATCTTAATCATATTTATAGTCTGTCACTATCATAATATTTCGTGAAGACGCTCGCTCAGTCAAACATTACAGGTATGAAAGCGCCAGTCTCACAACCTGCAGCATAAACTCATTCATAGATCAATATCTACAACTCTCGAAAATTATAAGACTGATAGTAAGCAATCTGAACCAGTAAACATAGTATCTGTGCGACACTAAAAACTTTTTGTTTGAACAAAGAGTTTTTACAGATAATAAATATATTCGCCATATTTAAGCGGCTGCGAATCATATAGATCTTAATTTCTATTATGGATTCAATGAATTAATACCTGTTAGATGGCTGTATTAAACAGTTCGAGTAGCAAACTGATCTTCTCAAATACATGCGTTTATCGATCAAGCTAATTCAAAATTACCACATGCAAGATATCATTGTTTTAACAAGCAGCGATGGCGTACGGCGATACTGGGGAGGGTTGCATCACCATTAGCATCATCGGTACACCGACACCCTCCGTACTAGCGCTACTCACATCAGACTCGAGAACTTTCTGCAGTCGTTCCTCTGGCGTCTTATCGCGCTTTGGTCGCATCAGAAGGTAGAGTCCTCCGACGTCGGGGCAGGTTCTCAGCAGCTTCTCTATTACGCATTTCCCAATGAAGCCCGATCCACCGGTGATGAACACGTTCTTACCGGCGTAGAATTGCGCGATCGACGGACGCATTTCACCTGCCATGACGACTGAGTCTATGCTGTAATATGTGTCGCAGGGACAAGTGATCGGTTGTTCACAGCGCGAGTTTTTGACGGACCCGCGACGGTCGCGCCCAGTGTTTTTATTAGACACTAATTTTTTGGATAAAAAGATCACTGTTCGTTTCGCGCAAGCTCGGTAAGCCGCTGTGCACACTATGCCTATTCCTTTAAGACACTATATAGATATTATAATATACGTAGATGGGTAGGTTTCTATATTGCGGGAATTGTGCTCATTCGACAACGGCTCGCACAGCTGGTCAATCAATGGGACGAACTTGCATCCAGCGCTCTTTTTTTGTCGCGAATAAAGACCTTTTCGCATTTATATAGCTTAGTGGGTCGCATCGTGCGTGTACATTACGCCCGACTCGCTGTTTGCCGACGTAATCAGAAATCACGATTCGTCCCCTGCCAGTAAGCGTTGAGCCAGGATGGACCATGCGTGGATGATTCGACAGGTGTGTATAGTGACCTCAAAACGACGTGTTTGACTAATACTAGTCGTGTTATCTAAGTAAACGCAGGTATGTATTGGATTAGGCGCATATAGGATGTAGGAAAACTGGCCACAATGTCATTGGTATCCAGAAAACAGACCGTAGGCAGATTGGTCACACGGCAATTTACTTATAAATAGGTCACCTTTAAAACGGATGCAAATAACCAAACAATTAAGTTAATGCGGGGGTTAAAGATATATAATTTTAGAAATTTTATATCAAATAATTCCCTCTCCTCTCTTCCCTCCTGATCCAACACCATTCCGTTGCGTCTTGCAGTAAATTTAGTTTTAGTGGTTACTCTGTTGTATTCGAATATAGGGGTACATGACAGTTGTGTCTGAGCGTTAACCGGCGCACCTGTATTTGACTCCATATTGTACCGTTTACCAATTTTTGGAGCGGATTTTCTCTCCGATTCAGAACTCTGATCTTTTTATATAGTAGATCAAATTTGGTACCTATACACATTCGGTTTGCATTTTAAATCATGCAAATATTGATATCGCAGTAAGGCGAGGGAAAGACTTCTGGGGTTCGTTATCAATAACAAAAATCTTCAAACTCTTCAGAAAAACAAAGGTCTTCACATTAGTCTTCACGTTAACTTTTTCTTTCAGATCGGATCTTTATACAGTGCCTATAAAAAACTCGCAACTTTACCATGTTTCCGGCAACTGTCTATGAGAAAATTGTGTTGAATGTTGGTGTGTAGTAATGTGTTGTGTGAGAAAAATGTTAATGTAGTCGGGAAACCACAACTACACAGGTGAATGCACTAGATTCATAGTAAAGCTGTAAAAACTCAAGAATGACACAAAAAAAGTCAGAAATAACGCACAATAATATTTGATCAATGTAATCAATATTTCAATCAAAAGGTTCTCTTTCGGGACCAATTCAAACATTGCCGTTTCTAACACAAATCCCTATAGCCGCACAACCATACTCGATCGGTTAGATCATGCTGTCTACTCTCTACTCTGTTTCTCTCCTCCCTGAAATCGACACGCGCTCTCACCTTTATATGTGAGCTCCCCGAACAGATCGTCTCTGCTTCTTTCACGTGACGTAGTTTTTCCACCGCATCATCACCGAATTCGGTACCAAACGAGCAAGTACATCTTTCTCGCATCTGCGCAGTTTGTCTAAAGTAACAGAATACACTTGGCCTGTGGTTATTCTTGACCAGATGAGAGCCAAGCATTGCTACTATCATATGCAGCTACATTTATGTGAACTACATGCTTACATTAAGATTAACATTAAGACAAATTTTGTTTCTTTCTGGCTGATATACCTGCAGCGTTATAGAAACCTAAACGCCTAGTCAAGTTCATTATTTATTTCAGCACTGCTTACGATAACAGCTGGCATTTATCATCGGATTTGATATCGACTTTGACTTTTGTCTGGGTGGAAAATGTGTGAAAAAGAATCTTGAAATAGAATGTACACTTGACTTTTGCGCACGTGAACGATGGCCAGACATGACGCAAAATCTTAAATAAATACGTACCTGCATTATCGATATAGATACAACCCAGTGGTGAATAATGAGATTATTCACGTCTGATAATGCGCGTCATCGCCTGCGTGCGTGCGTGCGTGCGAGCGTGCGTGCGTGCGTGCAGGCGTGCGTGCGTGCGTGCAGGCGAGCGTTGGCCTATGCGCGTGTGTGTGCTCAAACACACACATCACTCATTGCACATCACATCACATCACGGCATTGTTTAAGTCGCGTTCATTATTCAATGTGTAGGGGTGACCACCGCTGGGATGAGGGTGACAGCAAGACTCTTTCTAGGAATTGTGAAAAAGCTGCAAAAGGGTTGTAACCTGCTTTGCCACTCAATTACATAATTTAACCTATGCATCAGGTGACGTTTTGTAGCCGCGCGGCCATGTAAAAAAATTAACATTGTTAGTCCAACAAAGGGGGGTAGCTAGCCACCCAATCCACTCACCCCTCTAAATTCGCCACTGATGTAGTAAGCTTGTGAGTGACTGACTGACTCTCTCTCTCTCTCTCTCTCTCTCTCTCTCTCGCCCCCTCTCGATCTCTCTCTCTCTTTCTCTTTCTCTTTCTCTCTCTCTCTCTCTCTCTCTCTCTCTCTCTCTTTCTCTCTCTCTCGCCCCCTCTCTCTCTCTGCAATAAAAAAATGTTTGGTGAAATGATGTGTACGCAACTGCGTATCTGCACACAGCACCCCTGCTGTGATTCGGTTGCTGGTACGAAGGAGGACATCTGGAGGCGAGAGCAGGTAGAGTGCAAGGAGAGAGTAAAAAGTGAGTTGTTCAATGGGAGAGGAATAACGGTGTCTAAGGTCACATTATTTACTATAAATAGACGTGGGCTCGATTTTTTACGCTAGTCCGTGACTTCATGCTCGCGATCTTCTCGTCATTATTTATTTTGTGATATCCTGTGTTCTTGTTTTTGTTTTTGTGGTTATTGATATTATAATGCAATTGGGATCTATCCCAAATTGAAAATTGATCAATTCCAAATTGAATTTATTCCTAATTGGAATTAAATTAAAATCTCTGTTATAGTCTGTTATATATCAGTATAGTTAACTAGTCTTCATAGCCTCCCCCCCCCCCATTTACCTACGTCTCTCTTGATTCTCTTCTTCCTCTATTAAACAACTCACATTTTACTCTCTAACCCTTGCTCGATCGCGAGAGAGAGAGTGAAAGGGAGAGTACGAGAGAGAGAGAGAGAGAGAGAGAGAGAGAGAGAGAGAGAGAGAGAGAGAGAGAGAGAGAGAAGGGGGGGGTGATACACGATGCACGTATGATATTCGATCACTCATGCACGTATTCGCGTACAATTCGACCCGCTAACGTCTTGGTAAACTTTATAGTAGTTGCTGCTTGCTCGGGATGAAAGTGTAGCCCGTGCGCAATGCTTCCCGCCCGCGAAATTATTTTTCCCACGCGAGTTCCGGATACACCATAGATAATGTTTTGTAGGATGTGTTTGTATATAAGCGTGTGAGTCGGTTTAAAGTTAGTGTTAAGGTTAGGGTGGGTTAGGTTTAGGGTTAGGGTTAGGGTTATGTACAAGGTGACATTTGTTTCATTGTTCATTGTTGCTTCGAGGAAGTCGAGTGAATGGAGTGCGCTAAATGGCTGTATTTCGGAACTCGCGTGGGAAAAAAAATTGTGCTTCCCGCCCCCCTTGCCACAGTCACATCACCAACACCCACCTCCCCGGCTCGCCCCATTCACATCACACCCACCTCTTCGGCGCCCCCGCTACATTTTTATCCCCCAACCAACCAACCTCCTGCCCGTGACGTACCACGCAATCTTCCACCACATTCACATAACCAACCAACCAACCTCCTGCCCGTGACGTACCACGCAATCTTCAACGTGAAACCGCTTCGCAGACGCCGCTGCTCCCGCAGGAACGCGCTAGCCAATATTGTCGTAATCGTGCTAGATCCCAGCTGGCCACGTTCAAAGTGCATATCCTACTATGTGATGTGATTCCTGCTATGTGAGCATCCCAGCATCCGCTGCGTGTGACATCCCACGCGCGGCCAAGTGCCAGGCGCCCGTGTCGGCGCCAGGCACCTCGCGCAATTTACTAGTGATTGCCGTACGAATAAACTCCTATATATATATATATATATATATATATATATATATATATATATTATTATATCTATATATAGATGTGGGGTTCGGGCATATGTAGAGGGTTGAAGTTGCAAGTAGGCTCGAAGTTAAGCATAGAAATAGAAACAGCGTAATTAATTGGTGATTGGCTTATGGATAGGGCTGGCTCAAGAGTGGGAGAGAGATGAGAGAGAGAGAGGGGGGGGGAGAGAAGGCGCGCTCGAGAAAGAGAGAGACAAAGAGAGTGCGCGCGAGAGAGAGAGAGCGCGCGAGAGGCAGGGGAGAGAGAGAGTGGGAGAATGATGACAGAGAGAGAGAGAGAGGGGGGAAGGGAAATGAGAGAGCGAGAGAGAGCGAGAGAGAGAGAGAGAGAGAGAGAGAGGGTGAAAGAGAGAGATAGAGCGAGAGAGAGCGAGAGAGAGAGAGAGAGAGAGAGAGAGAATATATATATATATATGGCAATTGCGTGTGAGTACGCGAGTCAGTGCACAACGAAGCAAGTCAGCAACTCGGTGACAGACACATATCTTGTCAAACCCGCCACGCCATACAGTAATCTAATAAAACCGTCTGCGCTAGGGCCACCTTCTGGCGGGACATCGTGCGGACCAAGGTGCGCGTGCCGATATCTGCTTAATGCTAACCAGTACGCTACGTTAGTCACGATTCTCCCAAGACGTCGTGATCCAAGGCAGCTTAGACAAACACGCGGGTGTAGGGTGCACACAGCGGACAGCTACTGAACTTGCGCGAAACAGACTTAAACTTTTCATTAAAAAAATAATGTCTAATAAAAGCACTGTGCGCGACCGTCGCGGGTCAGTCATACTCGCGCTGTCAACAACCGATCGCTGGTCTCTGCAACACATATTGCAGCATAGACTCAGTCGTCATGGCAGGTAAAATGCGTCCGTCGATCGCGCAATTCTACGCCGGTAAGAACGTGTTTATCACCGGTGGATCGGGCTTCATTGGGAAATGCGTAATAGAGAAGCTGCTGAGAACCTGCCCCAACGTCGGAGGACTCTACCTTCTGATGCGACCGAAGCGCGATAAGACGCCAGAGGAACGACTGCAGAAAGTTCTCGAGTCTGATGTGAGTAGCGCTAGTACGGAAGGTGTCGGTGTACCGATGATGCTAATGGTGATGCAACCCTCCCCAGTATCGCCGTACGCCATCGCTGCTCGAAATAGTAATGCTATGTTAAAGTTAGAAGAGTGAGAGGGAGAGAGCAAGAGAGAGCAAGAGATGGCAAGAGAGAACAAAAGAGAAGGAAAGAGAGAGAGAGAGAGAGAGCGAGAGAGCGAGAGAGGAGGGAGAGAGAAGGAAAAAGAAAAAGAGAGAGAATTAGGAATGAGAGCGAGAGAAGCGGGAGAGAGAATGGGAAAGAGGGAGAGGGGCAGAGGGAGCGATGTAACTGGGCAAGAAACGGTTAGTTGAAAAACGTCTATTATTTTGCAGCTGTTTAACGCTGTAAAGAATGAAACCCCCGATAGCATCGAAAAGCTGCACATCATCATCGGCGATGTCATTGAACCACAGCTCGGCATGTCCGACAGTGACTACGAGCTGCTAACTGACAAAATCAACGTCATTCTTCACGTCGCAGCTTCGATCAACTTCACCGAGCCTCTCAGGTACTCAGTTAGTAATACTGGGATGTTATCCAATATTATATATATATATATAATATATACGTAACATATCACAACGTCATTCACCGTGTGAAGCATATAAACTAGTTATACAGTGCCACTACAGACAGATACATTCATTGAACTGTTTCCTCCAGCACATGCATGTGCTTCTATGTAACATACGATGCTATTTCCACGTTAATGAATTCTTTAATTATTTTAGGAATGCAGTAACGACCAACGTTATTGCTGTTAAAGATATGCTGGTGCTCTGCAGAAAGTGCAAACACCTGCAGGTAAGGAACATTTCGGGTGCCACTTATGTGAAGTGGTGTACGATACGCACATGCACACGCTCACGCGCGTACACACACGCGCGCGCGCAAACACACACGCGCACGCGCACACATACGCGCACACTCACACTCATACATGCACATATACGCACGCACACACGCACGCGCGCACACTCACGTAATGTAAAGGGGGCTTATGTCGGGCTTGAGAGCCGACTCGACTGGAAGCAACTGGCTGCAATTCACTGCGACTGCAGGGCCGCCACTAGTTGCTCGGCATAGAACAGTGGGCAACTGGACGCAACTAGTCGCTGCCGATCGCTTCCAGTTGCTCGAAATCCAGTTGCTTCCAGTCGAGTCGGCTCGCAAGCCCGACATAAGCCCCCCTTAAGTGTGTGTGTGTGTGGTGCGTGCGTGTGCATAATATTATGCATATCTGTATAATATATGCATAGTGCATATCTGTATAATAATGCGTCTACGTGTCAGCGTGTGCGCTCGCGGCGTATTTGTGTATGGCGTCGTGCGCGTCGTGTGTGTTCTTATCAGGATACACAAATTGAGATAATTATATAGATTAAAGATGTAATGAAATCGCGTATGACCAACCCGTGATCGTTGAGCTATTGCCTAAGGAAAATCACAAGTCAGTAGAAGGTGGTAATTATCAAAGCGTTTCTGAATCCAGAACAACAAAAAATTGTTTATGATAGAATTTAGTGTCATTTCGAATGAAGAAATTTATTACCAGAAAACCGTGACAGTGACAAATTAACATCGACTCGGCACTGAACGAAACAAGATCTCTGATGAGTGACGACTGATCCCCAGATATCACTGGTGATAGTCACTGCTTGTACAGTGGTGTATGTATTGTTACCTTATACGATTGTATAATAATGATATATCGTGCAAAATAAATTAATATGCATATATGTGTTATAATTGATCGGTACATTGCAGGCCATCGTTCACACTTCTACAGCATTTGTGCGGCCAAACCTTGAAGTCATAGAAGAGAAATTCTACGAATTCAAGGGAGACTACAATGACGTCATCGCCACTGTTATGTAAGCCCTTATAATGGCTTGGCACTAGTACTTCTGCTGCTGCTGCTGCTGCTGCTGCTGATGTTGCTGCTGCTGCTGCTGCTGCTGCTGCTGCTGATGTTGCTGCTGTTGCTGCTGTTGTTTTTGTTGTCGTTGTTGCTGCTGCTGCTGTTGCTGTTGCTGCTGCTGTTGCTGCTGTTGCTGTGGCTGCTGCTGCTGAAGGCAGTTGAGTAGTATGCACTGGACTGGTGGGTATTTTCTCACAATTTACAATATCAGCATGCACATACAACAATGCGTTAGTTAATGGATATTCCACAATAATTCCATCGCATATCATACATCTCACATTCGTATAATTGATAACAATGATATTTTCTATTCCATGCAGGGATGGCGACGACGCGGCAGCGGAACGTATAACCCCAGAGCTTCTTGGCGACGCACCAAACACCTACGTCTACACAAAACACATGGCAGAATGCGTGTTGGCGGACGAGGCGAGTGACCTTCCGATAGCTATCGTCAGGCCAACCTTGGTGACCTCCACGTGGAAGGACGATCCTATAAGTGGCTGGATAGAGTCGATGGCTCACTTGAGCGGAGTCCTCATCTTGGTAAGGGGCATCGACTAGCGTAGTTGGATTAGATATCGATAGGGTCATCCGCCGGACTCATTAGATGTCTATCAATTTTGCGTTACGTTTTTCCAAATAAGGACGAGTTCGAGTAAACATATCTATCTCTTTCTATGCATATCTATCGTTGAAGTTAGATTTATACGTTGGCAACGTGTATGAATAAACCAACCAATGATTTAATGAAATTATTCAACAAGGAAATACTACATATCGTGCCTAGAAATAGGTTATGGAACTAAATGATGGGTGTGTTGAGGAAAGGACAAGAGAGGGAGAGAGAGAGAGAGAAAGAGAGAGAGAGAGAGAGAGGTGTGAGAGCGCGCGAGCGATGGAGGAGTGAGGAAGGCAGGGAGGATTGAGGGAGGGAGGGACTAGAAAGGTTGGGAGGGAGGGAGGAAGGTTGGGAGGAAGAGAGTAAGGGATAGATACGAAATGAAAGTCAGTAAGTGTCCATCACAACATGAAATTTACTCAATAAAGAAATAACTTCAGACTGCCAAGGGTTACTTACGAGTGAAGTTGGTGGATGTAACTAAAGAGATCGACATGGTGCCGGTGGATGTTGTGTCGAACTGCATCATTGCAGCGGGCTGGAGGCTGGGCACCAGCGAGCCCACCCTCACGATTCCCATCTACAACAGCAGCAGCACGGGGTGCCACCGGATGACCTGGACCGAGTTTAGTGCGTAACAATTATTGTAAACATAATAACCATATGATACGCGCTGTGTAATGTAAGCAACATACATGCATTTAATAACATAGATATAGGAAATAGTTCAGAGAACAAATAGTCTTCAAGCCATGAAGCCATAAAGATTATTAATTAATATATCAATGAATGGTTTAAAGATTATTAATTAATATATAATTACATCTGTTTATTTTTCGAATGCAATTATTTAATGCTTATATACATCAATGCATCCTTTGTTCTTACTGACTGTTTGTTAATAATTGTTAATACTGTGCTTATTTAGAAGGAATATCGTTATACCATATGCAAACTCAGCCCTTCAAGGATCTAGTGAGATTGCCCTACGTCTACATGGTGCTATCTTTGTAAGTAGTGTGCGTGCGTGCATGTGTGCGGAAAGATTACGTTTCTATCTTTCTAGAGAGATTTATTATGTCTTTCTGCGAGTTTGTGCACAGTGGCATGCGTTCGGTAGATTGTCTGCTACAAGAGAATATTGGAACGGCATTTGCGCGGAACTATTGGGCGATAGAGAGCACACACTCATTAATACGTTGGAAGTAAATACGATTTGAGTTTTTACGACCATTTTATTGAAACGACCCAAGTGCCGCTGAGATTATTTTTCACACTCCATATTTCAGTATAACAATTGGGTACCAATTAATATCTATTTTCATACAAGACTATAGTCATAAGCGTATATGGCGCTATACTTGTGTTTTCTCGCCATTTGATTTGCACTCTTGCTTTCCATACGCAGCTCTCTATTTCAGGTCATGTCGAGGCTGTTCCATGATGCGCCTGCGATCATACTCGACCAAGTGTCAAGACTGCGAGGAAAGAAATCGAGGCATGCTATTTCTGCTTATTTTACATTACGTAGTTACCACGATAGTGACTTACGTTTACATTATTATGCGCTATTGATAGTCTTTTGATCATGGCTATAGCTGAAATAAATCGCAGTGATATATATATATATATATAGGCCTATATACAATTTACAAATTGTTGTATTACAAAAACCTGGTGATTGGGGTTATCATTATTAAACAGTGATCACATGTACGATTCATGATACCAATCGAAACTCCAGAACGTGTATTACTATAAATTTGATATTATTTGATTCTAGTTGCTGAACAGTTAAATCAAGAGATATGAGTACAAAATTTCACCACAAAGTTCTACGTTCCCCTCCCTTTTAGATCAGCTTTATATGTGCGTGTATTTATTATTCAGTATGACCAAGGTCATCGGTAAATTGAACAAGTTTGTTACCGTGCTGCACTACTTCGCCGTAAGAGAATGGCATTGGACAACGAAACAAATAGAGGAGATGGAAGAAGAGCTATCTCCTGCAGACCAACGGGTATATATAGTACCTATAATGCTGAAATTTTCTAGAAAACAGAAATACAGTGCGGTCTCACTATAACAGAAGGGCTTAACTTAATGTTTCAACATAAAACTGGGGTTCCGATTCCGAACTATTTTGAATGGGTCAGCATTATTTCACCGTCAATTCTTTATTCATAGCCCCAAAGTGACCAAATGGCAAATGGCAATTCGCTTCTTTCATAGCTGAAGCCTTTCTTGTGTGCTTAATTTTGCATGAAACAACCTAAAAATTTTGCAGTTTCAACATTGGCATAAATGGTCTCTTCTCTTCTCATATACTAAACGCAATGTTTATCCCTACTGGCGGCGGGATTTATAGCCCACTGGCGCCATCTATCTTAACATAAGTATATAATGTAAGTTAAACATCGTCGTTCTGCGCCGCAGCTCTACCCTGTGTTACCACGCGGGATCATTTGGAACGCGTACATGATTCAGTTCATTGAGGGGATTCGGAGACACATCCTGAAAGAGTCACAGGCCGATATACCAGCAGCAAGATCACGCGTGAAGTGGTAAGAGCCAGCGATAGATATCGATAACAGGATTATCAGATGACGTAAAAGTTTTGAAACACTCGTGTATGTTCTTATACATCAACACAAAATAGTTGTGGATCATTAGCTGGTTGTTGCCACGAAGCTACTGCTCAAATCGGTAGAATCGTGAAACAATTGGAAACTAAATAGTCTTCTTTTAGTACGGGTATCTTTATTTCGTGCGTAGGTTTAGATACTTGAATTATATCAAGAGCTCATAATAGAGAGCTCATAATATAATCTCTATTATTAGCTCTTGAGTCATATGACTATGTCCTACACGGCACACTTCTGCGTGGTGGGTGCCAGTGCGCGCGTGCGCTGCATGGCCGTGCCTGGTGGTGTGATGTCGCTGTTGGTGTTGTGATACCGCACACAGTATCATATGTACAGATAGGTGATATCGTTGTTCGTATCGCATGGAGTGTGTATGACAATTACGGTGATGATCTTATGTGTATTTAAATTGCCGTATTAATGTTCAACAGGTTCCAGAACGCAAACATCATCATGCAGGCGGTGCTGATCGCAGGGTTATCTGGCTTAGGATACTGGGCCGCTAAAGCTATTTGTTTTGCGTAGGGGACCTCTCCACTACTCACCGGTACACGTTATTAGTAAGCATGCTCTCGTTATCGCTTCAATAAGCATATTTCTCGGATGTCATAAGTAAGCATATCCCTGCTATCATAAGTAAGCGATTATCTTGCTGGCCTGTGTACAGAGTGTGAAGCATATTCGACCTGTCATAAGTAAGCATATCCCTGCTGTTATGAGTAAGCATATCCCTGCTGTCATTAATAAGAATATGGTGGATGTCGTAAGTAAGAGATCTATGCTGTGCATTACGCAGGCATTTTTGCTGACTATCAATGCGCGGTGGGCGCGCGAATTCTGAGCTGTGCGAAATCACGCGGACTCAATCTTTATATAAGCTATAGATCTGGACGTAGCGGACATTGGCTAGTGTCAGCTGAGTAGCGTAAACGTCGCTCTTCGCGGCTCGTACCAAGAAGGCAGTCGAATGTTAGTCTCGAGGTCTCGCTGATTAGCAAAATAATTTATTAACGCAACTCTAGCGTCTCGAAACACTATTTTAGATTTATCTCCATGGTTTAGGATAACTGCCATTCCTGCTTGTAGCCTATCTAAGACTGCCATCTAAACTCGCATTTAATGGGATACTGCGACATGCGGGTGAAGTGACTCATCTTTTATTTTGTCAGAGTTGCATTCACGCGATAATGCGCAAACTTTCATGCATAAGAACGTGCAGCCCTTATGTATATGGTGTGAGATGGCGTGGTGTGGATCATCTCTGGTGATGGGGGGGTCACGGATGTGGTGTGTTTGGTGTGGTGTTTTGCTCTGTATATCTCTGTTGTCTCTCATGCTCTCGTAGTGTTGGTTCGTGTTGTGGGCTATATTCGTTATTAATCGATAGTAATATGAATGATATTTCTTTACTTCTTTAGTTTTTCTTGTGCGTTCTTTGATTCATTTTTCTCAGTGTCTTTATGTGTTACTTATTCTGGGCTCTATTGACTTTTCTCTCTCTCAGTTATTGTTTGTCTCTTGTAATATTCTCGTACGTTTTAATGGTTCGTCGCTCTTCTATTTCTGACTGCTCATTTGTAGTCGTTGTTTATAGTTTCGAATACCCATAGATTCAATGAATACTTCTGGTACCACAACCTCTTTCTGCAGATTTCTATAACCGAACCTGCATTAGACGTCCCGCTCCATTGCGCACAGTCTAGTCTACAGCTGGCTATCACTCTGTACAGACTCGTCATCTACTCAGGCGATGTTATGTTTGTTTCTGTTTGTCTCTCATGTACCTGTTTGTCTGTGGTGACCCTCAGTTACCGTTGATTTCCGTCTCTAGCTGTTCTACTCGCGGACACTAGCCTGTCGCTCGTGTACTGTCCTCGTCCTATGTCTGTTTCGTCGTGTAGCGCAAACGCCTGCTTCATGCTAGAATCCTTACCCCGGTTCATCGTGTATTTAGCGTCGCCTGACAAGTAGATCTGTGCGTAGTCGGGACTCGTCTTAAGCTTCTTCATAACGACCCTCTGCCAGCATGACGCGTTATCTTGCAGGCGTCCTCCATGCGTCAACCTGGTATGCTACCTAAAGCTCAGTCGTCGCTATCTATGTCTGGCTGATGATGTTAACAATTAATGCTCTTACTTACAACCACAATTAGTCCTACCCACCATTTGATAATTTTTCGTGTCAGTCCTTGTCGGACTATCTCACCTGTAACGACTCTGCTGACTGCTCCGTTCGGTCTGCTGACTCCCTTTCACCGGACGGCGGTCCTATGACTACTGCGCTGACTGTGTCAACTTCAGGACGCTACTGCAGTATTCGGTCTACCGCAGACTACGAGCCATTCTGCCCAACTAGTTCCTGGATCGGCGTTTCTTGCAATCTCATGAGCCACTACTGGCACTTCTACGTGCCCTAGTCGTTAAACGAGGTTCTATCAAACTTGAGATGTCTCTCTCAGCTGCGAGCGCATCCGCCGCATATCCAGTCTAGTATGCGGACCTAATGGCCTTTTGGCGGAATTTTAATTCGCTGTGACGTATGCTTATAGCGATCTCCCATCGAAACTCTTGTTATCCTTATTCCTCGTCACGGACTCTTTCGTGGACTTTTGCTTGTGGCTTTTCTCATCCCGCGCCTGGAGTCCATTTCATCGCCGAGTCACTCTCGGACCCGTTCGCCTCCTCCTTGACAGCTCCCGGCCTCCTCTACTCTCACATGTGTATCCAGCGTCGTATTGCTGTTTATGGTAGATCTACCCTTAATCCTTATCTTCAAGAGTGTCATTCCGACCCTAATCGCGATATAATGTGTATTCGTTAATCTCAGTTTCGTTTGTCTTTTGTGACTTACACCGCGTTTGAGTGATTGCATTCTATCTTTACGGATCGACTGATATAAGCGTAATTCATTCTGCCTCGATTGTCTACGATCTTCGTATCTTTCCCTATGGTCTTTCCCTCCCTCTATCGTCCTATTCTCTGTACCACACACCACGCTGGACGATTTCAATCAAGGCTACAATCAGCTGGATCAAGTCTTAGACCAGCGTAACGACCGAGGAGTCTATGTGGCATTACACAATTAACGAGGATGAGGCAAGGAAATAGCTGTAACATATTTTTCATACAGGATTTCCGAATTCGACCTGGTACGACATTTTCGGGCGCTGTTAATTTCGCGGTCGGTAATTCCCGAATCAGTGATGACAGCGTTGTTGACTATTTTCCTGGTTTATTTTCGCGATCGGACGCGTTTAACTAAATTCGCAAAAATAACCACCGTGAAATATACGCGCTATCAGTAACTAAAGCGAAATGATAAATTAAATAATTAAGATAACTTCTCTGTTTCGGCAAGAATAGAGGGACACAGAATCTTAGCGAGCTTCGCGAAAAAGACGACGCGCAGACGAGCGTCTCGCCTCTCCGTGCTGGGACACTCCAAGTATGTGCACCGTCGCGGCCTGGCGCAAGGGGATCATGCATACTGCGAGCCGCGCGTCACCTAGGCGACAGCTCAGGCGCTCCGAACGCGCAATGCGACGCGATAGGACAGCGTTTGAGAGGTCGCGAGCGACTGTCACCGACGACCTGAGCCCGGGTGCAGCGTAGCTGTTGCTAAGGATCTGCCAAGATAAGATAAGCAGCGAGCTGGATCATCCGCATCCGCTCGGCAAACGTCGAGCCGCTTTCGTCTCCGCAATGACGGTGGTGCCAACTACGACGAGACCGATGTGCTGCCGGTCGCGAGCCGCCGCACAATGAACAGCGCGTGTTCGATCGCGCGCGGATGGATGGGTAGTCTCGTCGCGTGGGTGCTCGAGTCGCTCGAGTCCGGTTGCGCATGTCTCGCGAGACCCGTACAAAGTGCGTCGCGTGGTTCCCGGCGCCTGCCGCTGGCTTGCGTTGCGCCGAGTGGGCAGCGGGCCGCCGGTGGCGACTCCTAGCCGACAGGCGGTGTTTTTGCGACAGTGTAGCCGGTACACATTAGCACACGGACGCTCCAGAAGAGAAGATTGGTCATACCTGCCACCACGGTGCGGGGCGGAGGTAAAGCGGGCCATCGCCAAGGCCTCGAGTCGTGCTTGAGTGTCGAGGCGTGTGTTCTGAGCCGCGCGGCAATTTTTTTATTATGCTCAAATGTGT